CTCGCGTCGTCCGGCGGGGCCTCGTAGCTCAGGTGGTTAGAGCGTTGGCTGTACTAAAGCCTTCCCCCTTACTGCGTGGGTTCGAATCCCACCGAGGCGCCGAGTTTTTCACAGTTGGGTCAATATGAATTATTCAAAATCTGCCAAAATACCAATGAATTACGTGAGCCTAGTAGTCATCTGGTGGATTCTAGGTGAATTACTTAGGAAATCCTGCTTGGGCAGTCAACTTACTGTATCAGATTTGGTGGATTCCAGACGTTGCAGTAGGTTGGGCGGGTAACTTGACCCAAGTGTGATAAAACTCGAGGCGTCCGGCGGGGCCTCGTAGCTCAGGTGGTTAGAACGTTGGCTGTACTAAAGCCTTCCCCCTTACTACGTGGGTTCGAATCCCACCGAGGCGCCGAGTTTTTCACAGTTGGGTCAATATGAATTATTCAAAATCTGCCAAAAATATCAATGAACTGCTAAATTGTCAATACCATGTTGCGGGCACGCAGCCTAGACACCAAATGAGACATTGCCATGTTCGGCATCGCACGGAAAGAAACAACTGCGTGCTAGGCAACCACGAGAAGCTAAGAGGGGTGCAGAAAATTCCCTAACGCACACACACGCATACGCAGTCCCAGGCAGCATCAATCGAAAGCAGGACGAACATCAGGAGGAAAAAAAAATTGAAAAATCGAACTTTCAGTAATCGCATTTTATCTTTTGAAGGCCGATGAAAATGGTGTTGAGTGAACAGAGGGTGTAACCGGTGGGTGGAGTTGAAGCGTACAGAGGAAGAGGGAAGGAGAGAACTAGAGAGGATTATTGAAAGAACACTGATAGCACAAGCCAGCGTATACGAACTAGGCACATCGAACTGGAGAGTCAAACTGCCGAAGGAAGGAATACACGGCGGATGATGGCATTGGGACAGGCGGCTGCTGACGGAGGTTATGCCAACTCCACACAAGGGGTATTTGAGAACTCCGGCTTAACCTACATGCAGCAAATTTGGAAAAAAACAATAAAGAGATCAGACCAGCTGAAACGCAAAATACACTTGAATTACGAAAGCATAAGTCAAGATAATCGTAACGTCAGCGCGGCAGTGGAGGCGCCCCGCCACCTTCCATACACTAAAAATGTGCGTGAACTTGTTGAAAGACACTCAGATTGCACACCCAAATGATAGGATTGGCTATCTTGGTAGGAAGTCGTCTACAAAATTCCATGCGATGCCTGCGACGCCCCACACTGTGGCCGAACGAGAAAATCTGCCTCTACGCGCATCCACGAGCACAAACTGGTGATTAAAAGGCGAGACCATCTGTCCCAAGTGGCCATGCAGCCCTAAATACCGGACATATCTTCGCCAGGGACAAAACACACATCGTCGACGTCCGCCCTGCTAAAAAGACTGCGTGTCTCGAAGCCATGAACGCAGACGTGTCATGCATCAATCGGCACATTGAGTAAGGTGTCATGTACAAGATTCTCAAGGAAAATGGAAGAGACGAGAACTAATCAATACAGAATGACGTGCACGGCAGTCGCTGACTGGCGCTAACACCGAACAAGTATCGATTTTCCCAAGCACGTCTCAAATGTTAACTATTCTGACGATGAGCTGGGAAATCAGCGTACGGGAATTTACTCAACAAAGCTGCCCACTTCTCCCAAAAGGCGTATTTGACTCTGAATTATATTTTTGGGGAAGACTGACGATTGATTGCACACATTTGTTTACTGAAAGGAAACTTATGCGGAAGTCATTCAACACTATCAGGCCCACAGGCTGAGTGTCGCCAACGGTCTGCTTCGTCGGGCAAGAAATATTAATCTTACGACGACAGCTACCAAGTCAAGCCAAATTAACTGCTTGACTTATTTTCCCAGAATGGTTGCCGTAGAGATTTTGTACGTCAATCCATAAAACAATAGGAGTCAAAGGAAAGGTAACTAGATAATTCCAAAAGGGCGCCAAAACAAATTTACCCAATAAGATTTTCCACTTCTCCCAAGGAAATATCCGACATCAAATATATGTATATACATGCAGAATGGTATTGCCGACAAAGAAAATGGTGACTGGAATGGCCATTTCTGGATTATTAGCCGTCGTCAACCAATCATACCCAACCCCGAAGTGTGAAACACCTGGGGCTCGAACTCGCGGCCTGTTAGTTAGAATTCCAACGCCTCTAACCACTGAGCCACGAACTCGTCTTGGCGGCGCATGATATAGGCAGAATGGTATTGCCGACAAAGACAAGGAGACTGGAATGGCCATTTCGCGAGTTCGAGTCCCAGGTGTTCCACACTTCGGGGTTCGGTATGAGTTGCTAATGACGGCCACCTGTTGGTTATAGAGGCGTTGGACTTCTAACCAACAGGTCCGGGATCGAGCCCCAGGTATTCCACACTTCGGGGTTGTGTATGGCTGGCTGACGACGGCTAATAAGCCAGAAATGGCCATTCCAGTCACCCTTGTCTTTGTCGGTAATACTATTCTGACTAAAGTTATGTACCGAAAACCCCGTGGGAAAGATGGGGGCCCACGGATGAGCACAATTTCCGCAGTAGCGTCCCCTAGCTACGGAATGGCCGCAAGACGCGTACGCCAGGTGGTGTGCCTCATGAAACGTTAGCCGAAATTATGAAATACCCTTGCAATTAGAAATGATTAGTTAGGTGGGGTTGTAATACAGGTTAGCGTGCAGCGTAATAACAAGACATTTCAGTCATGCTAAGATGCCGACTTTGAATGCGCTGCTTCCCGACCAGCGGGGAAAACTGCACTCGGCCAAAAATGACTACTTAAGTGGCATGCATTTTTTCGTTGGTTTTCGATGCTCCTATGCATTTAAACGTATTTTATAGAAGGCAAGCAAAAGGAATATTCTTTCCTGTACTCATTTGTAGCGAATTAGATCCCCTTTAACTTCTATACTCTGAAAGGATTTTTTAATTCCCAAATAATTTTGAAGCCGACCTATCATTGCACTTGCGCTTAGGGTTTTCAAACTACAAATCATACAGCTCTCTATGTTATTAGGAAGATATTATACCATGCTCGTAAAATTTGCAGTGTATATGGACTATTTTGTTTACTTCATAAGAAATACCAAGTTACGAAAGGATACAATGCTATTTGAACGAACTTCTTAGTCTTAAAAAATTCCATAATTAGTAACTTCTTTCAACCGAACGATGCCCTTTGTCAGAGTACGGAATTTGAAGAAGTAATTTGCTTTCAAATGAGTATATTCGAATTTATGGGGGAAATCAATTGAAAAAACGCATACTACTTAAGCAGACATTCTTACTGAGTGTGGTTTTCACAAGTGAGCGAAAGAGAACGCATTCGAAAACCGACACCTTGACGTGAGTGACAATCGATATTAGCAATCCCTTCTAATCAAAAACGCATATCCGAATTTCAGTTAGCAGCTATTGAATTACGCCACGAGTGTGTCTTGTCAAAAATATGATAGTCACTCCCGTGTATGCTGAAATGGGCACGTATCGACCTCATTGGCGTCTTAGAGCGGACCGGTTCCCTTTTCGGGCGGTAGGAGTCGGCAATTGAGACGACGTTCCAGGTACCAATGCGATTAAATGGTTAGAGGTTGATAAATAGGTGGTGAAATGTAGGCATCCGCCGTCTCGGATCCTTTCATGCCTTCATCAGTAGACTACCGTATGCACACTTTGTGACGAAACTCGCTAACGACTCCGGAGATGCAGAAGACGTTTTTGACTATTTTCGTAAGAGGACAGATGTAAAGCGGTTCGACAAACTACATTTCAATGCATAGCCAATTTCCAATGCTAACAGAGCCAGAATAACAAACTCGTGTACTTTGCATGATCACAGTGAAGAAGCATTACTCCCAGTGGATGAGGGCGCCACGCCGAACGACCACAGCAGCACAAGCCCGTGGATGGGTCTCTGCCTGCGTCCATGCAAGTCAGATCAAGCTGAGTGGGAATTGGAAACCGTTTTCAGGAAAAGGAACCGAGTTCATGTATACTAATTCAGAATTTCGAACTCCAGATCTTTCGTCGTAAATCAGAGTGATGATGCAAAGCAAGAGTGTACTAGTTGCGCATATAACTATGCTTTACACATACAAACTCAAAAAACTGCGGCCAAAGAGGGTTCAAGCAGGTACGTGGCACACGTTGGACGAAGACTCATGGGTCACTGTGTCTGATTCCGTCCCCAGTCAGCTGGACTCCAAGGGAGAAGTGCGGCCGACCTTGGGGCTACCTTTCCACGACTAGCAAGAAGTCGTAGCTCGGATCACTCGGCTTTTCTCTGGATCAGGTTACAGTGATATTTTCTTAGAGTGGCACCCTTGCGGACATCCTTGTCCAGTTTGTGTCGAGTGAGAGAACCACACGTGTATTTCAAAGGAAGATGCGAGCTTCTAACCTCACAGCCACTCCATCAAAGCCAAACTCTATCATCAAAACAAAGGATGGGCGCAGATGCCTCGAAGGTCCCCACATTGCAATCCAATTAGCGGACAAGTCGTTACTGCTCCTCTGGGGCATCTATTATAATTGTCATTTACGAGGCCCTACAGGGCCGCGCGCAAAACTAGGGTCGACGTACCTCAGCATCACTGAAATATTCGTGTCAGTCGGCTCCTGAAACGCTCTTTAGCACCTACGGGTGGAAAGCAGCGGGCTTTAAAATGGGTCCGGTCTCGAGCCGTAAGTTTATTCCCTCATGCAGTTGTACTGATCGCATGTGGACGATGCGAACCGTTTACTACAGCGGCAAGCGAAGACCAGGTGGACGCCAGACGTTAGGCGTTCAAATCTTCCTCATCCCGGCTACCGCTTCTCCATACACCATACCTCCTGTATGCCGTTGGATACCCAAATTGCACAATCGAATAACCACGAAGACTAAGGCATCATTTTTGGTGAGGAACAGTTAGTTGAAGTCAATACTATCCTGTAGCTCTACTGTTAGTGGCAGATAAAATCTGTAGGAAAATATGCTGCACGCCATAGGTGTCTCGGTGGCGTCTAGGACAGGGAAAGACGCCGGTGGAACGAGCAACCAGGCGTTTTTACGGAAAACTCGGTAGTCCCTGTGTAGCCCCTCGGTAACGACGGCTTTTAACGTGTGGGGTTGTTAAAGGTCTGATTTCTTGGTCACCGTGGTAAGCCGTATGGCATGTGTCAGCTTGACTTTCAGTGCATGTTTTTGATGCAAGCTAATTTAAAACAAACGCCATCATTCTCCTCTCTCCACGACCGGGATCTGCATTCGGTAGGTCTGGCAAGCTAAGTTAACGCTCGACGTTCTGACTGGCAGGGAATGATACATGGAACAGAGGCTCCGAGAAGCAAGTGAGATGAGATCTAACAAGAATTTTATTCACGCTTTGACCTCTCATCACAGGCAGCAATAAATGGGTCCAAGTGTGAATTTGAAACGTCATACGAAGTAAATTTTTGTTTCAGCGGCGATTATTAGGATATATCTTTGGACAGAAAGATAAGTACTAAGCAGTTTCCCCAAAAAACATGCATGTCGTACAGGTTAGAATACAACGTGTGCAAAAACGCAGGCAGATCCTTATAAAGTTGGCTAATGAATGGGCTTTAATAAAGCTAAAACGGTATTCTTGCAAGCACTAACATCCACGACAACGCCACTGCCTAGAAAACGCTAAAAGTGAGCTTTTTTATCGCCATTCCCTAGGAACTGTCACGCTAACTTATTGTCCTGACCAAATTTCATTTCTTTAACTGCCGATTTTCGCATTTTACTTTCGATATGCCGACCGTATAGTGGATAAAGCCCTAGTCATTCCCTCATTCTTACTATATCCAATTTCGCTCGTACTCCCTCAATCGCGTGATTATGGCTGTTTGGTCACAACAGGAACAATAACAGGAAAAAAGGATAGCCAGTTGATGGAATTTTGCCGTTTGTGACTACGGTGGCGGCGGTGATTCTTGATGGTAATCTGGCACTACAGCCTCTATTAACTCCGTTCCATGCTTACAAGCAGGACAACCCCACTTAAGCAGTATATTCAATTTTATGCTATCCTGAAGACTTAAGTTCAGTATTTCATGAGCGCGAAAATTCGGCATCTGCTGTTAAATACTACATTGTGAATTTTTGCCTGGAGACTGCCAATCGGAGCAGTCTTGATTCTCGTGTTGTAAGGAGGTGCGTCATCAGAAAACCGCGTGATGTGTGGACTTGGGAGGTCAACGCCAGTACATTATCACTGTACAAGTATGTCGAACAGACCACTCAACTCGTACTCCTCTTGCTTGTAATTGGTACGGCTGTCATCATGCCTGTTACCAGCTGTAACCATCGACACGCAACGGTCTGCGACAGCGAATCTGGAGAGCTAGACTAGTTCTCACCTCTAATGACGGAGGCCGAAAACAGCAAGTTCAAGCATCACTTCCGGGCTGTTTTGAGTTGGCCTTCTCCTCGATGTTTCCAGATCAAGAGAAAAGCCCCGAGCTCGTGAAACAGGCAATTAGAAACGTGCCTCATAAACTAAGCAACAGGTAGGTCGAGCATAAGGCGGTCCAGGTGGAGTTAAATGTAGGCAATATGTTATTGCCGACAAAAGGCAAGGCAGACTGGAATGGCCATTTCTGGCTTATTAGTCGTCGTCAGCCAGTCACACCCAACCCCGAAGTGTGGAACACCCGAGGCTCGAACTCGCGACCTGTTAGTTAGATGTGCACGCCTCTAACCACTGGGCCACGAGCCCGCTGCCCTGTCGATTTCGATCGGGAATACACAGTGGTAGGGAGCGCTCACCGACCGACAGGGCAACGGGCTCGTGGCCCAGTGGTTAGAGGCGTGCACTTCTAACTAGCAGTTCACGAGTTGGAGCCTCGGATGTTCCACACTTCGGGGTTGGGTGACTGGCTGACGACGGCTAATAAGCCAAAAATGGACATCCCAGTCTCCCCTGTCTTTGTCGGTAATAACATACTGCCTATATCATGCGCCGCTGTGCGGCTGCTGGTTGGGCTCGAGAGAGAGAGAGCCCGTAAGGCACAACGGAACGAGTGAGTTCCGTATGAAGGATCGGTGAGCGCCCCCTACCAGAGTTAAATGTATTCGTCTCAAACCCCGATTATGCCAAACAAGCCGTCGTTTGACAACGTCCTCGAGGAAGAGTAATCTGGGCTCAGTCGCAAATTCGGCCGAAAATAAAACGCAACGAAAATCAAATTGCTAAACGACATAGCTAGACGGACCACCTTCTGCTAGATGGCACAAGACCCGAGGCGGCCGACTACTTTGACTACCCCAGTTCAACAACATAGACAGATCAATGTCAGGAGGACATAAGCCGCTGCACCCGACGTGCACATGACATGTTATGCTGTTGTTGGCAGTGCTTGTAGTCTACTCACAAGGTTCAGTAAAAAAAAACAGAAGAGTAGAGTACATGAGACTACGCTCAACTCGCCCTGTCTTAAGGCTACGAAACCTGACCTGTGCATATAGCCTACACATGAGAGATAAGAATATTTAAGAAATGTTGCCTGCTGGACCTTGTCACGAAACTACATGTTCGCCGTCGACAGCGAGCACCCCCGAGTGATGATACAGTTAAGGATCACTGTCGCCGGCTGTTTGGTCACTCGCACAGCCGATGCCAGAGGAAAGGCGTCCGCGAACTTCTGTCTAAATCAGTACCGCAATTATAGGGGGCACAGAAAGCGACGGGTGGTTAAGTCAAGCCTAGAAAGGATACTGGGTACGCCAGTTGTTGGGCATCGGAACGCCAACTGGACAACGGTCTCCGAGCAGGTTCGCATGCCGTAGACTTTCGAGTCGGCTAATCAAGTACAGGTGACAGTCAGCGTAAGCAGAGAGATTCGTAAGTGCAGTTGAGTCCGCGAAAAACTTAGCAGCAAATTGGGAACAGAGAAAAGGGCGCCCACCTTGAATGGTCCACCGAAGGCGGGGAATATCCAGTCGGCCATGGAGAGGAGACGGTCACGGGAACGGCGCCATACAGAGAGGTAGGACTCTTTATCGCCCATAAAATCAGGCTTCATGGAATGCGCGTCAAAAAATCCAGTCTTAGAGGCGTCGGCTGCATCGGTGAAAATGGATCCAGTTATGGCGACAAATGAGGGTTCCTTGGGTGCAGGATCGTTCATTGAGGCATGAGGGGTGATGAGGCCCTTGACGAGAACGGTCACCTGTTGGTCCATAGTGCCCGGAGTACCGACAACTGAGAGCTGATGACACGGAATAACACGCAAAAACGTCATATATGTTCGAATATGCAATCATTGGGAAGAGGAATAATGGGGACGATGTGAAGGTAGAAGACGAGGAAGAGAAAAAGGTGGGAGAAGGGACTAGCCCGAGAAGCCGATTTACAACATTAAATGCCATAACATCTGAGGATGGCCCTATCGCTGAACGACTACAGAGAACCCGAAAATTGCGAGGCCGGTCATAAATCTGGTCGAGTTGTAATAAATAACCGAAATCGGTGGGCGCAGCGGGGATTTTAGAGGCACAGTAGAATCGAAAACACGATTACAGATGGAACGAATTGAAGAAGAGCATGGTGGTAGGCCACGCGCTGGCAGCAAAAAATTACTTAAACCGACGCGTCCCATTGCAGAAGGTTCAACAGGTTATCTATCCATGGCAAACGTCCAGGATCCGTGAATTATGAGAATTCTGAAGTAGATATTCCCACACCGATATTAACGCTTTTTCATTGGCTAATTAACTTAAGTGAGATTGATTACAGCCAGAGGTAAATCATGATCTATGCGGCTGACTTCAGATTTCAGTATAAGTCTCACATTTCGTTCACCAGTCGGTAAACAAGGGATATTATATAGCAATTTGGCATCTGTTTTAAGATATTAAATTTAAAAACGTCCTATCTGCTTCGAAAATACGTTACGGAAGCTAAGGCACGTTAGAAAGCCCGCCAGATCCTGAAACCTGCACTTCACGTGTAGTATCTATAAGTCGCGCAGAATACAAGCACTACTTGCCCACAAACTGCCAGAATAAGAAAAGCAATAAGGTTTCGCAATTTTCCACTATAATTACAAATGTTCTGTTGTGTGGCCATAGTACAAGTGGAAACGTTCCATGAGTGAGCGGTGCTGACACGTTTCACTGGGTGATATAGTTTGTAGAATGAATGCATGCGACCGCAGGAGGGGGCTCTCGTAAAGTCACTTGTTGAAAAAAGCAAGGTATTTTGCTTTTGAGGCCATATGGCTCCACCAAACTCAACTTTGTACATGATTCGGCGAACCATTGGGGACAATGTGGATTATTTAAGCGACCTTATCGCGAACAAACTTCTAGACCCACTGAACATAACGGGAAAACAATCATTGCAAACAACGCTAGATCTAAACTGACTGGGCAAATAAGTGCCCTCAAATGAGGAACTCTGGCCTGTCTGTATGAGTCCGACAATGGCTACCAGTCAGACAGGTAACAAATGAAAAAGACTATCAGCAAATTGGGAAACTGTGAGCACAAGCTTACATTTTCGTCGATCTCGAAAGGAACAGTCGCGTCGGAAAAGGAATGCTCAAGGAAAACATCTTGTCCCTTCTGAATATCGTGTCCAACAATCATCATCTCTGCGTCAACAAACAGGTTTAAGCATCCCACATGAGCAGCGCGTCCGTCAGTGCACACGACGTACTTAATTTTTGAGGGGCTGTCGATACCATTCTTTTTTAGAGACTCGAGGAGATCCGGGCCGTCCCAAGCAGACCCAGGATTAACTATCATGTGACCGGATGGCCCGCTCACTAACACAGTATTACAACGGCGCTTAATATTTCCATTAGACAAAACTTCCTCAGATCCCTCCCGGAGTAGAGTGATCGAGTAAGATTCAGAGGCCATCTTCGCAAACCAAATATGTTCTGGAATCCACGAGCACGAATATTCGCGCTTGGTACTGGTCTTGAAATCAGTCGAACTGGGCTTCTCAAGCCAAGCAGGGACATTTTATTCAGACACCAAGCTCATTTAACAACACCTCTGAAAACACCGCAACTGGCTAGAAATATATTGGGATATGGCGCCTGCTGCAGCGACTTAGAGGACGGCAAAATCATACGAACAGATGCATAAGGTGGCAAGAAGAGACTACAGAAAAAGAAATGCAAAAACAAAACAAAATCGAACAAAAAGAAGGCGTATGGCGGACTTTCTGTGGAAAACCGGAAGTGTGGACTTCGCTTAATATAAATCCCAGAGGAACAAGATTGAAAGATTAATTTTCAAAATAGGGTGCGATCTTGGGAGTAATGTGCCCAACTCAGTCATCAGAGATCAGTCAGTCAGTCAGTCAGTCAGTGTATTTGAGGGAAATAGGCTTACGCCTTTGAACTCCCTATTTGTACATAAAAACTCGAAAAACAAGCAAAAGTGTGAAGAAATTACAGCATTAAGTGAATGCATACATTGATTCACATACGTCACTAGTCACATGGTTAAAAAGTCACATAGTCCGCTTGTTGCTGCAGCATATATCTGTCAAGGCGACATTTAAATGTCTCCACAGATTGAGACATAACAACCGTCTCAGGCAGATTATTCCACGGTTCCACGACACGGTTGGAGAGGAAATATTTTCTCACATTCAGTCTACCCTGTGGCACACGTAGTTTGAAGGGATGTCCCCGGAGGTGAGATGTAGTGGCGAGTTGGAAAAAGTCATCGCGCCGAAGGGCACAATCCAAGCCGCGCACGATACAGTTCAACGACCGCCGAGTCGGGACCACATGGCCGACACTGGTCTACTGGAGGAGCTCGAAACGTTCGCTACGCGGCCGGATATCCTTACCATGGGTGAGTTTAACGCGCCTCATAATGACTGGAGCTCGACCCATGCAAATAGCTCAGAACAGACTTTCGATGGGAGTTTTCTAAACACGGCACTGAAGTTATTTCTCACTCAACACGTCACGTTTCCAACTAGAGTACGCAAAGACCAACGAGCCGACTGTCTTGATCTTGTCCTTACGAAATCACAGGACAGCATTGATGAGGTGTCAGGCCTACGCCCCCCCCCCCTTCGGTAAAAGTGACCACATCGTTCTTCTATGGGATTACTCCCCCTTTTCCGTGCCCGAAAAACCCATGACACGTAGAACAAACCTTTGGCGTGGGGATTTCGAACAAATGAGTGCTGAAATTTCACGCATTGAGTGGGAATCCGTATTTGTTGGAAGCATGCACGAAGACAGGCAGCGGTTCCGATAAATGCTGCACAGGTCGATCGCAAACTACTGTTCGCTTTCACGGAAGAGGTTACCTAACAGACCTCGATGGCTTACCGAAGTCTTAAAGAATGAAGTGAATAAACAGCGAAGGCTGTGGGAAAAGTCGCTTTCTGACAGGAGCCCCACATCCATATGTGCGTACAAAATTCAACAGAATCGACACAAGGGCCTTATCCTCGAAACGAGAAGGGAATTCGAACGGGATCTGCTTAATCATGCCTGAATTATTCTGCGGTTACACAAGGCAGTGTACGCGGAAGAACGACCCAATACCACCGCTAAGGACTGCTGAAGGTGAAAATCTCACTGAAGATAGAGCGAAAGCTGGTCGCCATTCAGAATTTTTCGGTCTGGCTTTACTAGTGAAACAGGATTCAACCCTTCGGCCCCTCAGCCCTTCGAAGACACCGCAATCATGAAGACCGTTCAGTTCACTGAGGGCATGGCCCTGGTGGAGTTGATAAAGCTAAAGGAATCAACATTACCAGATCCTGATGAGATTCCGGTGAAGGTTTTGAAGGAACTCGCCGGTGAGTTGGCTAAACCACTCTCCATGATTTTCCATACATCCGTCTTGACCGGATATCTGCCACCGGACTGGAAATCTTCTTGGATGACGCCGCTGTATAAGGGCGGAAGTCGGGTCTCTGTGAGCAATTACAGACTGGTCAACCTCACCTCCCTGTACTGCAAGATTATGGAGAAAATAATAAGGCAACAATTAATGCATTTCCTTGAATAAAATCATCAGCTTTCCGATTCCCCGTATGGATCTCGAAAAGGCAGGTCCCGTGTGACAAACCTACGTTACCGTCTAGAAAACTGGACTCGAGCTGTTGATAGGGGACATATGGTGCATGCCATCTATACTAACTTTAAAAAGGCCTTCGACGATGCGCCTCACCACCGACTTCTGTACAAACTCAGCCGTATGGGAGTGCGAGGCAAGCTTCTGGTGTGGCTTTGAAGTTTTTTACTCTATCCCTCTCAAGCCGTCCACGTTAGTGACCAGTAGTCTGCCGAGGTTGCCGTTAGGAGTGATGTTCCCCAAGGCTCTGTGCTTGGCCCTACACTCTTCATCGTATACTTCAACGACTGCGCAAACGAACTGGATTTCGATGTCGCAATGTTTGCTGACCACAGAAAAATCTGGAGTAGCACACGAAACGAAGTTGACGAGGCGTGATTGCAGACAAATCTAGACCGCCTCGAGCAACGGTCAAGAGACTGGCTTCTGCCGTTTAACGTAAACAAGTGCAACTTTCTACGCGTGGGCGGAACCGGTTCTCCTAACCGCAGGGTCTAATAATAATAATAATGATAATAATATTTATTCAAAACCCGTGGGGTCCTTACATAGCAAATAAGGATAACTTTTGCATGAATTTTAGAATTTTAGAACAGTTATACAGAATCTATACAATAATTAATTAATAGTTATTGAATAAGTAGTATGCTATGAAGAATAATGGGCGAGCAGTGAAAAAAACTCCTAACATATAAACAAAAGGAGTATGACTGGACTAACATCATAGGAGAATAAAACTCTTTCACCTGAATATATAAAAAGCAGGCATGACCGGCCTGCATGTGGCGGTTTATAACGGATTTCCTGAAGAGGTAAGTAGGCGGGTCTGTCAGGAATGGCCTGTATGTGGTAGTGAATAAAAGGTTCGAAACGGGCATCACCAAGGCGGAATTTAAATGCCGGATGAGGTCATTCATGTTAAAGTGGCGAATACAAAACCAGTCTCGAGGCGATAGGAACCCAGATGCGGCCGCTTATATTCAGCCGACTCCAGCCGAGGAGGGGGTAAGACAGATGCGACCGCACTACCAGTATATGACGAATACAGAAGGTTCCGCCAGGAGTGTCGATAGAGAGAATTTTGTGAGGGGCATGATGCATGAACTGAAAAATCGAAAAAATTAGCAATTCTGATGAGGGATCTTAGGAAGCGATATTACACGCAAAAGAAGGAAACGTGAACGAATACGGAAAGTTTATGGCGACGTCCTTAATTCCCGGTGGTCAATTCTCGGTGTCATAGAGGAAGTTGTCCGGGAGAGATGAGGAATATAAAAGTTTAATCGAGTCAGCAATCAGATAAAAGTGCAGCCTTCTCTTAAAAGTAAACAGATTATTCGAAGATCTAGTATATATTGGAAGGTTATTCCAGAGGGAAGTATACCTGGAAGTGAAAAAAGAGATCGCTTAGTGGTGGAAGAGGCGAAAGAGGTATAATCAGGGAAGAGTTACGAAGATTGTTTGGGTTACTACTAGGGGTAAGTTCTGAAATCCGAGGAGGATTTGAACAATTTTAGACGCAAAAAGAGGAGACAGAAGCCCGCTTCCAGTCTTCGAGCCCATAAAAATTTTAGGTTAGTTATCTGACATCTATCTGAGTAGGAGATATTTGGATGTTCCATGCCTAAAGGTTTTCTAGTAAAACTTCTTTAGACATTTTCTATTTTTGAACGACTGGTTTCGTTCATCAAACCAAGGAATGGGCAAAAATACTCGAGAATGGGAAGTACAAACATACGATAGAGTCTTAATTTAATTTCGCGAAGATAGAAATTGTAAGAAATAAAGCCACAAATCTGGGCAACTTTGGCTGTAATTGTGTCAGTGTGTCGCAAGAGATCAAGATTATTTGTTTAGCTTAAACCGAAATCCTTGACGGTGGTACATCCAGTCATAGGCGTGCCTTGAAGGACGTCTGGTTGGGGTAGCCTATCAGGTCTAAAACACATATAGCGACATTAAGACGGAGAGCATTCCATTAGCAATTTTGAACTCCACAAAAGTTGACGCTAAATGATTGAGAATGCTTAATTGCCGCTGAGATATAATTGGTGTAAATTAGGAACAAAAGAGGACCTAAAACGGTACGTTGTACGACACCACTTACAATAGGGCTTTCATTGGAAAGTGAAGATCCCACCAAAACCTTTTGTTTATGATTAGACAGGTATGACTTGATAAAGTCGGTTAGGGGACTGCGAATTCCCATTGCTTCTAATTTACCAAAGAATTTTTTATGTGGCACTTTATCAAAGGCTTTTCTAAAATCAAAATAACTAAGGACAACAGATAGATGATCATTACGAAGAGCGGTAAGCAAACTGAGAAATGACGCATGGCATGTGTCACAAGAGCGGTCTGGTAAAAAACCATGCTGGGAACGGCTAATAACTTGATTGGCTATGCAACAGTTGATAATTTTCAAGGCGATAATTCTTTCAAAGATTTTAGCGAGAGAAGGTGCTTTATGGACACCTCGAGAGTTCTGAACGTCAGAAGGACAGCCAGACTTAAATGCAGGAATAATAATAGAAGCCATTTATGAGACCGCACCTGGGTTCTTGTCGCCTCGAGACTGTTTGTCATCGTGCCCTTACAGAATGCGCTCCGTCGGCGGTCTTGACAAAGCCTTCTATATTCGCCATATACTAGTAGTCTGGTCGCATCTCCCTTCCCCCATGTTCGGATGG